GCTAAAATCTAAAATTAGCTCAACTATAGCTAAAATCTAAAATTAGCCAAAATATAGATAAAAGCCAAATTTGGCCAAACAAAACTTGAAATGCTAAAATTAAAAACTGGCATTCATTTCAATAACATCAAAAAAGTTAAAACAAGTTAAATATTTTTAAAAGTATGAAAGATACAAAACTAAAATTCCCATCTCCCAAACGAGTTTTGATGTAAACTGAATTGTTAAAATTATGAAAGGTTTAAAGTGACTGCCGAAGTGATTAGATGTTGAAAAGCTAAAACTAATAAAAGGGTTCACACAATAATAACGGACCATATGTCGACAGTTAGACGGTAGCTCACACTAAATTATATCACATTTTATTGTTTGGATTCTTTTCTTTAAGAACAGATTTCCTGCTCAGATGGTTTGATGCGATCGTCAGATCCAGAGAAGAGCCACAGATTTAGTGGTTTTACATTTTATTTACTCTGTTTATAGAGACTGGAGGACTTTAGACTGAAAATCAAACACACACACAAAAAACAAAAAAAACCCAAGAAGTGAAGATTTTGTTGATTATGGATATTTATTGTTGTGGCGTGCAACAAGTCTGAGCTGGAAGCTTTTTGTTTTCTGTTTGTTGTTCCACTCTTTTTAATTTTTTAAATCCCGGCTGTGTTTGAGCACACTTAATTCAGATGCAGACGAACATTCTGTGCAGAGCAGAAGAGTCAGAACACGATGACCAAAATAGATTCTTGAAACAAATGACGCTCTTTTATCGACAGTTAAGATTTTCATTAACTTTTCCCAAATGCATCATGTTTCAAACAAAGACTGGCACGCTGAACAGAACATCTCAGATACTTGTTATATAAATCTCTGCTGGCTAAAGAGGGAGATTAAAAATTGGCCCAAATGGGCTTTGCTCCTGTAACAATTATCACGTGACTGCAGACGATTGATCCGGTGGTAAATATGAAACAAGAGACACGAGTTAAAGGCGCGTTAAACATTTTAAAAACTGTGGAACGTAAAGCCATTTTTATTATATCGTACCTGCACTCATAAATCAAAATAAACCTTTTACATTTGAACTTGTATATGAACAAATGTGAAACTAACATGAAGGATGACCAGGTATTATCTACAAAAATGTTCCTTCTTTTAAAATGTTCTTGTCCCTAGATGAGTGGGCGGAGTCTAGCACACCTGAGCCAACGGGATGCTCTGCGTCTCATCGCAGCCAGTCAGCGTCCAATCACCTTGCAGATCAAAGGCCAGAGGAGGCGAGGTGCTGATGCAAACAGAGGATCCTGGGAACCACTTCCTCTCAACCTGCAGCACCTCAACCTACCGCTTCCTCCTATGGGGGCGGGGATAAACACATCTAGCCCCTCCTACCAAGACAGGTATGCTCAATACCCTTGTATACCTGAAAGGGTTTGCTTACATCTTTTCATTTTTCAATATACTTTAACATCCATTACGTAAAAAAAAAAAAACATCCATCCATCCTTCCATCCATCCATCCATCCATCCATCTATTCATCCATCTTTACCCGCGTCTTCCTTTTTGGGTCATGAGAGACACTGGTGCCCATTGATGTCCATAATAAATACTGGTAAATGAACAAACAATAAATGACTGCAACACTGCTGCATTCTCAAGTTTGTTTGTTTTTGAAAGAAAACATAAATCATTATAATCATATAATCTTAAATATAAATACATTTTTGTGTCTTTTATTTTGTGAAAACGTTTTATATATTTATTGTGCTCTCATGCATTCAAGACTTTCAGCTTAATTCAGCAACTGAAGTGTGCAGTCACGAGGAAAGGCAAATTAACATATTGCATAACAAAACACACACAACTTTAAATTTTGCATCTGTTGGGAGCGAGTCTTGAATTGTTTTAACTTTCTGCATCTATAAATAGCTACATTTAGCAGATGTATTGTCATTATTGACGGACTTCACAAAATTCGCTGAACAAGCAGATGCATAGAGATCTGTTTTAAAGATTATAATAAAGAAAAAATGCCCTCCAGAATAATTAAACATGTACTTTTGTCTCCTCTCAGACATTATTACAGTCATCTGTCTCTGCCACAAGATCACTGTGATGCAGGACGATATAGCTACCTGTCCAGCTCCCCGCAGGACACCGTGGACATCAACCATCAGGTGGGCTGACAAAATGCATTTATATACTGCATCTATTCAATTATCTAAATAACAACATGAAGGCAAATGAATGAAGGTGGCTTTTTTGTGTGTGTTCACATTAATTGGTGTAACGTAGTTGATTTGCAATTTTCTACAATCTGTGTCTCTCAGGATCTAGAACTTGCTGGAAGTCGATCAAAGAAACAGAACTGCCTGACGGGATGTTGCAGCACTGACTTAGATGAACCTTCCACCTGCAACAGCCAGGTATCTACCGATCATTTACAGATGGGATCAAGGTAGCAGAGACCAGATATTTTGTTATAAGGGCATCAATTAAGCACCCTGTCATCAAAGAAGGGCTGCACGATATAACAGGCAGCTACAATGTTCATGTTGAACACTGTGATGATCTGTTACCATAAACCCACATTCCGACTGAGGTGCATTTTAGAGGAGAGGGAGTTCATCTGATCGCCAGTCGTACATTTTGCTAATGCGGTTTGTGTTTGCAGCATTTTAGAATACTTTGCATTATTTTTTATTTATTTATGTAATTATTTATTTAACCAGGCAAATTCCATTGAGATCACAGATCTGTTTTGCAAGGAAGGTCTTGGCCTTAACATGCATGATTTTTGATCTGTGGGAGGAAACTGGAGCACCCTGAGAAAAACCACGCAAGCATGAGAAGATCATGCAAACTCCACCCAGAAAGATCCCAGGTCCAACCGGGGATTGAACCCAGGACCTTCTTGCTGAGAGGCAACAGTGCTAACCACTGAGCCGTCGTGCTGCCATTAGATCATTCACACTGATATTGGGATATTAAAACATTTTTTATATTTTGTGCATCCCTTATTTAAAGCTCAGTTTAACACACCCATTTAGGTTGAATGTGGTCAAAACTCGTCTGTGAGCACTATGGCTGTATTCGATGGCACATTTATTTCATATTTATTAAGATTTAATCTCATATACAACATTATACTGTTATTTGTGAGTTTCAGGATTATTTAGACATTGTAGCCCATAAAATAATGCCTGTTAAGTGGTTACAGCTATTTTAAGAAACATAAAAACTGCCTGAAGTGAAAACAGTAAATTGTAAAAAAGCTGCACCGAGTTACTTTACATGCAACAAAAATTGTGTCATCTTAAATTAATTATTGTAAATGTGGTAAAAGCTCTGCTGCCAAAAACAAATGACCATTAATACAATAAAAGTTGCACAAGTTAATTAATATTAATACTAAATACGAATTATTAATATCAATAATTATTACTATATTGTTTATTTATCAGTTATTATTAAAATATTAATAATTAATTATCAATATTAATAATATCCACACCAATAATTGGTATTAATATTAAATAGTACTTATTAATATTAATTATTATTGATATTAAAATAGATCATTATTAACATTAATAATTAATACTTATATTTATTGTTAATATTACTAATAAATAATAATAATAATAATAATAGGTGATAATAGGTGCCTTCCTTGCATGTTGAACCAAAATGGCTCCATATGTTACTCATTTTCTGTGAAGAGTTTTCTCCTATTTATTTTCTATGGTAAATGTGGCATTTTTGTGAGCAAAATATGTCGCTATGGTAACTGTGAATGCCAATAAAAGTATTTGCACACTTCCCGGAGCTGGGCCGGTCGTTTTGATATAACTTTTGTGGGGGTCCACGTTGTGGTCCAGGCCACATTAAAGTTGAAAAAGATACGCTTTTCAGGTGTAGATTAATAAGTGGGCAGTCACCAACTAGTTCCTGGATTTGGTGAAATATTCCGTCTTTGTTCGCAAATTACTTCGCCTTAATAACTCGAAATGCCAACAAAAGTAATAGCACACATCACGGGGCCGAGCCAGTTGTTTTGATATAACTTTTGCGGGGGTAGACGCTGTGGTTCGGGCCGCATTAACGGAGATAGAAATGTAGACACTCTTCCAAGGTGTAGAATAATAGGTGCATGGCAGTCCCCAAAAAATCACATGCTTTCTGAGGATTAAACCCAAAGGAAGCAGGTAAAGGGAGAAAAGCAGGAGACCTAATATAGATCCCTGTGGAACCTCAAAATACAGTAGAACCAGCTATGTTGCCACACATGTTTCTGGCTGCCAGATATGACTTAAACCAGCTCTGTGCAGTTCCACAGATACCCACTTAGTGCTGTAAATGTGAAACTAGATGTTGTAGTGCACTGTTTTTGCACTCAAGAAACTCCTGGCTTGTGTGAAAAGATCTCGGGAATAAGCCTGTCTGTTCTTGTAGACCGATGACGAGGACTTCATCCTGGAGAAGCCAATGGGCTTCATGCCTCTTCACCATGAGCTGGACAGTGGCCTGGGCTGGACTGATGGCTCCCTTCACCAAGGGGACCTGTCAGGGCTGGAGACAGAAGAGGGAGGCCTGGACGACTGTCATCCCCATGGGAACCTCGCCGCAGCAGGGTGTGGGGGTTTTGGAGGAGGCGGCTCTCCCTCCTCAGAGTCCTTCATCTCCTCAGAGCTCAGCGACTCGGGCTTCTACAGCGTGAGCACCGGGGAGTTCAGGCACTTCCAGAGGCTGCTGGAGAAGCGAATGCGTCTGTACAATGCAAGGATGCAACATCAGGGCGAACCGTGCGAGAGACGGGAGAGGCGGGACAGCTGTCCCAAGAGCCACCGGGAGCTGCTGGAGGCCATCCCTGAGGCGCTGACCATGCAGCCGCAGTGTCAGCACCTGCAGCACGGCATGGAGGAAGGAGCTGGACCCATCATGGACGGCCCACCTCGTGGACTTTTCAGGTAATTACGAGTACATTTAGTGGGGCTCGTTGCAGCACAATTAAACTTATGACTCTTAAAGCTTGCTGTTGATTTGTTATTTGTGCAAACATAAAAACAAACAACATGGAAGCTGTGAGTTTACAGAAAAACAATAAGGCAGAAATAAAGATATCTTAACAGAAAATAGTAAAAAAAAATAAAAAAATTTTTTTGCTTGAATTGCAACATGGTGGGGAAAAAACGTGAATACTGATTTTTGCATTGGAGTAAAAATGACCTTAAAATTTAAATTTCCTTTTTCGGTAAACCTGAACGTTAACATTTATTACTTCACACATGTGTGGCCCCGTTTTACACAGATCTATAAACATTCTTAAAATGGAGGTAGAATAATGTGAAATCAGACAAAATTATTTAAAATGCGTTTGAAAACACCATAAAAAAGAAAAATGTTTTAGTCCATTAAGTATAATCAAGTTCGATCCAGGTAATTTAGTGTTTAAATCATTTTATGTTAGAGGTTGTTTGAGGAACAGTTTATGAAGTAGGTGTTACAGTTTTTTGTTGTGATTGTTGCTAAGTTTTATTTAATATTTTTGGTTTATATGTGCTTTTTTTGTTGTTTTATAATGTTATAATGTCCCAATTTTTTCCAGTTGGATTGCCTTTCTAAATCCCCCTGTATGTTAGTGACTCAATCTTTATATTCTTATATTATTATTATTATTATTATTATTGTTGATTATATTGTTCAGTGTATGGTTCCAGACTTTGTCAAGTTCGATAAATATATTTTATATGGTAAATTTTATTACAAAAAGTTTTGTTTTTGTTTGTATTATTTGGCACTCTTTTATGAGTTTTATGTTTTTGCACATCCAACACATTGTTCTCCTTGTCTTCAGATTCGTCTTCACTGCTGTCCTAAATACGAAATCAAAACACGATTTAAAATTGTATTTCATTAATAATCAAAAACCTTTGCCTAACATTTTCTAAATGATTCAATGATGTTCTTTTTGACTTTCGTGCCCCAGACACTTGTTTCAGTGCCAATGATGAACTAAAATCTCTGTTTTTAGGGTTTCATCCGTCCAGTTCCATAAAGCTGACAGACCCTGTCTGAACCGGCACAGCTCCAGCAGCGGAGCGCTCTTCAACCCCTCCCATGCTGCCGTTTCACGAATGACCGCTCCAGTCCTCTCCACCTGCAGCACCCCCTCCAGCCATCGACGACCACAAGTACCCATGCAGCAGCAGTACCACCATCAGGGCTCGAGCTCGGTTGGAGTGCTGAGGAGGAGCCGGACCCTGCACCATCGCCCTCCTCCTCAGGAGTACCGCCGCCGTGCTAGCCACCCAGCATCCCCTTCCTACTGCGCAGCAACGTTGCACTACTGTGGAGGCGTCACACCTCAAAACGTCCTGCCACCAGGCCTGCCAGAGGAAGGCGAGCTAGAGGCAGGTGTGATGGCTTCCCGTCCGGCAGGCATGGCTCTTTCCCCCCAGCAACATCCAGCTGCTCTGGGACACATCAGAGGTGCCAACATCAGCGAGCGATGCTACGACAACAGTGGGCAGATCACTCGCAATGACTGGTGGCACTCACAAGAACGAGGCTTGATGCCCGAGCCCACCATGACCGAACGGGAACGGGAGATGGAACGGGAACTGGAACAGAAAAGACAAATGCAAAAGGAGAAGGAGTTGGAGAGGGAGGCAAAGACTCAGGAGGAGGAGAGAGTGAGGCAGCAGGAGCTGGAAAGGAGCCGAGCCAGCGAGCAACAGCCTCTTCTGAGCCATGTCCACCCTCCTCAGGCCGGAGACGTCAATGACACGTGGCCCAAACCAGCCAGCCGTCAGTCCCACGGAGGTGGAGGAGGTAGAGGTCTTTACAGCACCTTGGAGGGCTACACAGGGGCCGGAACCGCTGTAGGCTGTGACAACAAGGGACAAGCGAGCGGGGCTTTGAGTCCTAATCCCAGTTCTGGACTGCAGCCAAAACTCAATCCAAGCTACAAACCTAGCGCAGCTTCACGGGTCACTAGGAGCCAGCTGCTCAGAGACCGGGCGTCTCAGCTGGCTGACGAGCGCAGCGGGATGAGCACCGACGAAGAGACCAGCACCGACATGCTGCGAGGTCGGTACTGGAGTCGAACAGAGAGGAAAGAACACTTCCTGCTGGCTCGCGAGCAACGGCAGCAGCAGCTGCTGGCCAGAGGTTTGACTGTACGAGACGGCATCGGCAGGGGCGGCGCCTCATTTGGAGATGGAGGTGTACTGGAAAGTAGAGGAGTTGGACCTTTCGCAGAGGGACGATGCAACACGGTGCTGGAACTGAGTCAAAGGAAGCTGAGTCGTCTGAGGAACAGAAAGCTGTTGGATGACTGGACGACTGTAGAGGAGCTGCTGACTCATGGGACCAGGCTGGACAATCAGGAGGACATGCTGTGTCCAAGCTCCCTGCTAACAGTCACCACTGTCTAACTGCATGGAGATGATGTCTAACTGTAATTCTGTTTGCAGGTGTGTGTGTGTGTGTGATTTTAAACAATGCAACCTTCTGTAGAACTACTTGTTCTGTCTTTCCCAGAGTTAGGTCAGAAGATGGATATCAGCTAAAATGGGCATCAATACAGAAAAAACTCGAGCATAATGATGACTCCAGCCTAAACTCATGTAAACTCTAAAATTCTACAAGAAAATTAGCAACTGAATAATCTTTTTTTATAGCAGCATTTTAAAAAAGACAGCCAGATTGACAGTTTTGAGTTCCTTTAAAAATGTTCTGAATTAGATGTCCTTCCCCCAAAGCACTTAAATGATAAAGCTTATTAAAAAGATTAATATACTTTTAAGAAGCAACATTAATCAAGCGCTTTACTTAATTCTTATAAGTTTTTGTCACCGTCACAGGGGGATTGAACTCAGAATGCAGACTGACTCGGGGAACTCTATAGATAAAACTTACTTTAATAACAAAAAAATCAAAATGCAGAAAAAACTCACATAAGCAGGAAAACAGAGATAAACAAGAGGGGATGAAGATAAATGGAGAGCCAGTACAAAGCAGAACTGATGAGTGGAGCAGAGGTGATTGGGAGAATGGAAGCAGCCGGGTGATTAGGAAGTGGGTGCAGCTGTGAGTGGCTGACTAAACTGAGGAAGCTGACTGAGGGTAAAAATAAGAACTGGTAAAGGAAACACTGTGAGCAGAAAACATAAGAATCCTAAAGAACAGAAATAATAAACCACGGAAGGAACAAGACTAAAATATAAATAAAAAAACTAAATAAAACACCAGAAAAGCATAAATTACAACAGTTTTTTAAATGATAGTCAAAATAATATTGGTTATCAGTCACGCCGCTTGATTGGTTTGATCAAGATTAATATAAAATAAATCTCTTTTACATTTATATAAGGAAAAACTCCCAATAACTCTTATTTTTACAAGCAGAATGAGAATAAGTTAGATTTAACTTGCTTCTTTGAAAAGATTCAGTATGTCCCTCTCTGCTGTGCTTCAGCTAGAGGTTGAAATCATTCACAGGGATATAAGAACCTGGTTACACCAGTTTGTTTTGTTTGGACACCAATAAACTTTAGGGAATACGAGATAAAGTTATAATCTCATTTTTAAAGTCATCCTTTAGGGATTTTCAATTTCAGCTGCATAAATTCTTACCTGCTCAAAGTATACCGCCCCAAAAATGATGACGCAGAATGTTTACTATGTTCGCCTTGAATTTTATGTTCTTCGAACACAAGTTCTTTTCGTCTTTGTGCCTGAAACACAAACATGGCGCTGATATCCACTCCACAGCTGTCCTGAGATCGACGGTGAACATTTATATTTACAGAACTGTTGGATTGTTTCTCTAAATGTGACTGAGAGAGCGACACCGCTGTCACTGCTGCGCATCATCTCAACTGATAGCTTTACGTGTGTGTGTGTGTGTGTGTGTGTGTGTGAGACCTTTTGTATAGCACTCCGGACGAAATGTGAGTCAGTGCATGACGCTCGCAACGACAACCAAACCAGGTCAGAGAGGCTTGTGTGTTTGCACCACGTGCTTCATGCTACACATTTTGCTAAATTTATTCCACTGAACAACAGCTGTAGACGTTTTGGGTTTGGACCTGAAACAGGCCATGAGATCTTTGGGGAGCAATACTATTCTGGTTAATAAACTAATCACAAACAACTCTTTTTACGTCAGCACTACAGGAAACAAAAATAACTGCAGCAATGAGATGACGCCAAATCCTGAACTTTTTTTATTAAAACCTGTTTACAAAGAACAAAAAATTAAACTGTGTTGATCTGAGGTGGCGAACGGATTCACAAATAGCGCTGCAACGTTTGAGCTGGACTTTATGCTGCATTTATGTTCCGTTGTTCGTGCCATGATCACACAGTGTGCACGTGATTGCAATACTTGGCCCACTTGTGGAAAAGAACCAAACGTCTGAGAGTAAAAGTAATGTCAAGACGGTAGCAAAGGCATCACTACTTTCTTTCATCTCAAATTACAATCAAATTATCTCAGTGTTTAAAAAGGTTAAACCTGGATTTTTGTTCGAAAATAAATAGATGTCTTCTACTTACGCTATACGGTAGTCCCTCGCTACTTCGCTGTCCAACTCTCGCTCTTTCGCGGCCTTTCAAAGTAAAATTGGACATGACACAACTGGCTGATTGATGGATGAGCCACTCGATCAACATGGATTTTTTAAAATTTAAAATGAATTATTTTAAATGATGCTGCACCTGTGTGCAGCCCACAGCTGCAGGGATAAACTCCCTCCGGCAGCATGTCGTGATCGCCGCTCTGCAGCGGAGAAGTGGGCGTGGCCTAGAGCGCTGGCAGGTGGCAGAGAGCGGAGATCATGACATGCTGTGCTCTTTTAGAGCATTTAGTGTTTAGAAACATTGTTTAGACTATTGCAAGAGTGTGGGAAGGGTTTAAAACACCATATATATGTACTAAAATAAACTAGTACTTGTACTACTGCTCCTACTTTGCAGTTTTTCCCTTATCGAGGGGCTGAGAATGGAACTCACGCGATAAACGGGGGACTACTGTAATTCAGCTAGCAGCTGCTGTACTGGTGATATGAGAGGTAGGCTGTGCTGTGCAGGGCGTTGATGGGGAGGCAGCCAGCAGCAGAACAGTAACCCCCTGCTGTCTTACAGAAATGCAGAACACAGACAACACTCAGTGGCATTTTTAAGCACTAAAGTTGCAGAAGATAACAAAACATCTCCTCCTCCTTTTTGTCCTTTAAGGAAGATGTGAATGCAGCATAAAAGAACCAAAACTTGGCTCGCAGCTCTTCTCCCCTGCCTCCTAGCACATGGCAGGATGTTTACACACTGTCCGCGCATAAAAACCGTTCGTGCACGTTTACTGAAACCTACAACGACACGCCGGCCGACGTGAAAACGGCTTCCAAGAACAGAAGGTACCGAACTCCGGTAAACTCTCCGTTCGTCCGTTCGTCCGGGACAGTCAGAGCTCCAGACAGTCAGAGACGTTCCAGTCAACGCTGGGGGAGGTCCGCAGTTCAGGAACAAGTGCAATAATACCTCAATTTATTCTTAATGAGACGGAGTCAGGTTCTCGGTGAATGCGGTGATTTGTTTTAAATCAAACAGATGCACAAAGGCAGCTGCTTCGAATGTTATCATCCCATGAAATATCCATTATCAGTTGTTATCACCCCATAGGTTGCCTTCAGACTGCCCCTCCTGTACCTCCTAGTAGGTTTAAATGTTATCACAGATATTATGCAGCCTCGCCCACATCTAAAACCAGAAGTCTTTTTTTGTTGGCTTTATTTAAAACCTTTATTTACATTTTATCTACTACTTTTAAGCTGGATATCAAGGATTTATTTCAGATTAATTCCAGATTTAACAGCCATAAGGCTTTTTTATCGGTATCTAAAAAGAACTCACTTAAAAAAAATGATAAATGGTAAATGGACTGCACTTATTTTTCGTCTTTCTATCTTATCTAGATACTCAAAGCTCTTTACAATCTGAGCCTCATTTACCCATTCATACAGCTCTATACTAGATCTCCACAAAGCTAATTGAACAATTCATTCTAAAGAGACTAATCAGAGCTTTGTCACATTCATACACCGATGGGACACACATCGGAGGCGATGAGGGGTTCAGTGTCATGTGACTGCTGGTGGATTCAAACCCCCAACTCTTGCATTGGAGGGCGACTGCTCTAACCACTCAGTCACAGCTGCCCTAAGAAGATATGAGGTTTTTTTTGTTTGTTTGTTTTTGTTTGTTTGAGATGAGCAAGATTCGGATCAACTCATATACAGTACAACAATATATAAAGCACTATAATTATGTTCAGCTATAACCCTAACCTTATAATTGTGTGATAACGACCTACTGAGCCTGCTAGGAGATACAGTCTGAAGGCAACCTATGGGGATGATAACTAATAACAGCCATTTAAGTGGCTGATAACATTCAAAGCGGGTGACAAAGTTACAGGACACCACAAGTGCACGGGCATCATGGGGTCAACAAAGGCATCCGCAAAGGTCATGTAGATATTTATACTGATTTCCACACGAGGGACCTAAGAAGACGACTTTTTGCACATCATTTTTATACAAGAAGTTTTCCTTACCTTCCTGCACCAGGGACTGAGGCCAGTGGAACTGTAGATAGAGCGACAGTGCGTGTTGATGTTTTCTTTCTAAACTATCAGTGATTTATGGAAGAAACAAAATATATTGTGACTGTGTTGGACATATTTCAATATTTTTCTTGTGATAGTTGGAAAAACAGTGCGAACAGTTTTTATTATGTTTAAACCTTTCGAAGTTAAGTCACTGGAGAGCTGGTGAGACTTTGGTTTACTTTTCTCGAAGAGAGGGCGCAAATTATGAGTATTGTTGTCTCTTTAAATGGAAATTTAAGATTGACTTTACTGTTGTTTTGTGTCATTCGGACATGTATATATTGATTTTGTCACGCAGTGTGTCTGAGAGTGGAGCTGAGCTGACGCGACGGTGCCAATCGATGCCTCCAGTGGTTTACCGTGTGATTCTGTAGATTATAGCTGTGTTACAGAGGCTGCAGATAAACAGCACACAGATGAAAACTGTATTATCAGAACATTTAAAACATCACCATGCTTGAAAAGTAGATTATTTGTTATGAAATTAGCTGAATCATGAGTAGGACCACGAACACGATTAATCTCATTAAGTTGACATTTATGATACGTTTTCTTGCTCTGTGTTTTCTCAAGCGCTTCAGTTTCTTGTTAAGGCTGGAAGAAGAAACTAGATTTAAAGTTTCGGTCAAATGTTATACAAAAATATAGATTTTAGTTCCAACTGTCCTGAAAACGCTTCACTGAAGGAACCAAAAAAACGAGCAGATGGTGCCAAAGCCTTTGCTGCCAAATTTGGCGTCACCCACTCCCTTTTGTTGCAAAAAAAAAATTGTTTCTGTTTTGAAGAATAACTCTTAAAGGCAACCTTTTTGTAGCCGTCTGATTAAATTAATATTCTAGCAAAGCGGGGAATCCAAACAAGTTTACAACACTGAACTCTTCAAGTGAGGACAGCTCTGCTTGTGTGACGCGGACGTCAGGATTTAAAAGCTAAATTGAGTCACTTCTTTGCGCCTGCTGTCAGGAAATTGTTAATTAGATCGTTATTTACGTGCGTTGTGTAATTAACGCACAAAGAACTTCAGACGAGCTGTCATTCGACTCAAGCTGCAAGCCCATTTTCCAGCACAGACATGAAAATGTAAGGAAATACTCAACAATGTTAAAACGTTTGGATGTTATTTAATCCAGATCAGCAGGGTTACTCAACTGGTGGCCCAAATCAGGCCCACTGGTGAGCTCAGTTCGGCCCACCAGTGGGTTCATTTTTAAATAAAACTAGATTTTAAACTATAAAATAAGCTTAATAAAAGACAATAAGTGCTGGATTTCTGGTTCCTGTTGTCTTGGCTTTCAGTAAGGGTGCCCCCCCGAGCAGTTTAGTTGAATAGCCCTGGCTCACAGTAACCTTGAATGATGACAGAGATTTTGTTGATGAATCTGCAAATTTGATTCATCGTGATTATATACATTTTTATGCTGCCTGTTGCAAAGTTTGGACAACAAAATGATGCGGCTTTGCTTTTTTTTTTTTATGCATTGCAACACTTTTTAATTGATCTTTATCCCCCTTTACTATTAAACTGTATTAAATCCATCCGGCTTCATAGCAAAGACGTCATTCAGCACATCTGGCTGCTGCTGTTTAGTAAATTAAACACTTCTTTGAGAAAATGTGGATTTCTTTAACCGAGCAGTCGACCAGTTCTTCCAGCCTTTGAGCAAAGCGTTTCTATTTTAACATATTTTCATGTTTTCGTTCGACCTGAAGACAGAGAACAAGAAGATTACCTGAAATGTCAAATTGTTTGTGTGAAACACTCGAAGCACTTAGCGTGAAACGAAAGAGTCATACTTCCACTTGTTTGCTTCCATGTTTTCCTTTCCTCTCTTGTGATTCAAACAGTCTGAATAATGGATGACAAAGAGACCCCCCCCCCCCCCCCTACCACCACCACTCTCTTTGCTTACGTTACACAAGGATGGCTGAAAATAGCGCTGCTGTCCTCATGTGATGTGAAATTAAAAGCACACTGGAGCGG